TTTTTTTTTTTTTTTTTTCACTCTCCAACCAAATACTTTTTTCTTTTTGGTTACATTTAAGTTTAAATTGCTGGGTTTGAAGTTTAAGTAAATACTTAGACTAGGCAATAGAAATTTCCAGTGAGCTTTCGTCACATTGGTTTTGAGCTCTTCCAGAAAAAAAAAAAGGCAAGCCACTGCCTTCCTCCTCCCCAACTCTTCAATTTCCAAACTTGATGGATATAGAGGTTGTTTGGCTTGGCCCCTGGCCTCCCTGTGAAGGAAGCTGTTACACTCTATATCTCAGATAGGTTTAACTCAGCCTTCTGGTTTAGCTGATTTCAGTGTTAAATTTGAATTGACCTCAGGAGCTCCCTGGCTTCAGACTGTGACTTTCATAGTTGTTAGCAGGCAGGAGGGGATGGGCCGAGTGTGTCAGGACGGTCATCCCAGAGGAGGCAACAGAGAAGTAGAAGCCACAGACTTCCTGCTTTCGAGCTGAATTCAGGGACTGTGGGGAATTAAGGTCATGCGGACCCGCTGTACACCAAGCAGCCTGAACATTCCTCAAGTGAGCTCAAGGTTGGTATGGAGATAATCTGACCATTTGTTTTATTGATCTGTGGTTGTGTTTGTGACAGTGATTGCCAGGATGGGCTTGGGGTCATCTTCAGTCAACCTCACCGTTTTATAGTACCTTTGCCAATTGGAGGATAAATTCTCTTTGCTCACATCTTTCTTGGCATCCAATGTGGAGAAAACCGTTAATCAATACACAGTTTTAAAAAATCCGTAACACAAGGAGTTCTTTTTCTCCTTCAAGCTAGACTAAAGTTCCTAACTGTGAAGTTATCAGGTCACCTGGCTCAGCTGTTTGTTTTTCATAAACTCAGCAATGTGTTTAAAAAACTCCTGTTTTTCAGACTACTTTGTGTGAATGGAAGGTGACATTTTTATTTTGCCAGCCACAAATTCACAGGATGAGACATAAGGTACAGGGCCATGCTGTTTTACTTTGAACTCATTTAGAATTTAGAGTTTCACTTAGAATTTAGAAGGAGTAAGGAAAAAAGAGACCCCATTTGGCCTTAGCAAAGGAATTAGAGCCTAAAGTTCTCTAGCTATGAACTGTGTCCTTCTGCATCCTAAGGGGCCACCTCACAGCCTTCTGTCTACACCTCTTCAGGCTGTCAGGAGAGAAGTGAGGTCCATAAGACTTTATAAGAACCCATTTATGAAGATGAAAATAATACGATGTTTTTATAGCCACGTATTATATACCTTTTAAATCCCAGGAATAGGAACTGTGTTAAATGCTTTATATATATTATCTCGTCCTTCTGACAGACCTGCAAGGAAGCTGTTCTTATTCCCATTTTACAAAATTGAAGCTCAGATTAGTTGTGTAATTTGCCTGAATCACAAAACTGCAAGTGGCAGAGCCCGAAATGAACACAGGTCTCCGGGGATCCAAAGCTCATGCCCCTTGCACGAAGGCCCCCTGTATCCACTTAGATTGCCATTTAGCAGGAGGAAAATCATCATGATTTGTCGGTTCTCTGATTTGGGATTATGTAGAAGAACTAGGTCCTCCCTTGTCAGGGACTCAAAGAGAGACAGGAAAGTAAATGTTCTTTTGAAAATACTAATGGAAAGGGGGGAAAAAAGTTCTTTTTTCTCACCCATATTTTTCTTTCCCACCTCATGCTTCTGTCCTAATTTTTTTAAACAGTCAACATCCCATATCAGAACTACCTGCTTTAGGGCAGGGAGTAATTATAATGCTTATTTTTTATTTCTGCCCTCCACAGAAGGAATGCTGAAGCCTGAGAGAATGGGAGTTCCCTTTCTTGGAGTCCTATTTTATTTGAAAATGTGAAAACAAAAAATTGGGACTTCTCTTTAGAGGCCTGTCTTGTGGTGACGATGGTACATAGACAGCTGACCGTTGAGGTGGAGACTGCTTTTGCCCTGGCTGACTTTCAGCTACCCAGGCCTAACTCAGAACAGGAAGGACAATCCCATGTCCATCTTCACCCCATGTCGTCCTCTTTGGCCTTCATCATTCCCTAAAACTTCTCCATCAAAGACTACAGAGCAAGGGCAAGTTAGTTGTCTGTGGATATTGATTGTCTCAAGTAATTCTTTGGATATATAGGTGACGAATGTGGAAAGCCGTCTGTGGGTTGAACATGCTGTACCCACTCGCCAAGTGAAAGTCCAAATCCCATCCAGGGTAGAGGAATGTTCATACTTAACCAAAGCACCTAGCCTATTTTCTGTACATAGTGCAAAAAGAGGAGCTGTTTGTTACTTTGTGAGATTAAAAAAAAGGTTCTATGTTCTTTTGTTTTATTTGTGTGTTCTATTGTCTCCATTCTAGAGGGTTATTGGTAGGGATCCTGTTGACCTAAAAGTAAATATGGAAGGTACAAGCTGGGGGCATGCTGCTGGATTGTCAGAGTAATGTGCCAGATCTAACATGTCCCACTTTGCCTCCCTTACACCTAAGGTTCGGAAGAAGTCCTTGATTCTGTAAGTAGACACAAATGTTCAAAGGAAGGCCCCGCTAACATTTAGCGGATGTCTCCCACGTGCCAGGCGCTATGCGGCTAAGTGCATTCATGTTCAACCTCACAGTCAGCCATGGGAAGATAGTGTTATTATTCTGTCTTCATAGTTGAATAAACAGGTTGAAAATGATTGACTTGTTCAAGATCCCATGGCTAGTAAGGAGTACACTTGGGATTCAAAACTCTTCCTAAAGACTGTTCTTTCTATGATATATGACTGCCTCATGAAATCCTGGACCTCAGAGGCATCTTGTTTGGTCTCTCAGATGATGTCAAGTAGAAATCTGACCTAAGTTAGTACATTTCAAGTAAAAGCACACATCGTATTGCTAAAGGCATTTCATCATTTCGTTTTATCTCAGTTTTTCCATCAGAAGATTCTTTTTTAAAATTTATCTATTTATTTTTAAAGATTTATTTATTTGAGAGAGAGAGCATGCGCACGAGCAGGGTTGAGGGGCAGAGGGAGAGGGAGAGAGAGAATCCTCAAGCAGACTCCCTGCTGAGCACGGAGCCAAAGGCGGGGCTTGATCCCATGACCCTGAGGTCAAGACCTGAGCCAAAATCAAGAGTCAAACGCTTGATAGACTGAGCCACCCCGGTGCCCCGCTTTATTTATTTTAAGTTATTTCTGCACCCAGTGTGGGGCTCGAACTCATGATCCTGAGATCAAGAGTCACATGCTCCTCTGACTGAGCCAGCCAGGCATCCCTCCATCAGAAGATTCTTACCTATTTTGGGTCTAAATTAGTTGCCTGTAACTTTCACCCAGCCAATTGGTCATGCTTCTGACTTTAGAGGTCATAGAGAGTAATTCCTCTTTCATCTGATAGCCCTCCTGATACCCTGTGTATTAGTCACGGCCTAGGTAGGAGACAGAAACCACACCGTAACTTGAACAGGAAAAGTTTAATATAAAGAATGATTAGTAATAGGTGATTGGTGACTAAGGGGTAAAAACTATAAAGATAGCAGGAAATAAATTTGGGAGAATCCCTTCTCCATCTAGCTCTGAGGTTCAGGCCTTGTTGGACAGCATGTGACTGTAGCCCACTGCACAGTGAGGTTTAAGGAGGTGCCACAGGCCAAGTCTGGCAAACAAGAAACCTCCCGTCCCCCTTCAGTATGCACGGAATTCAACAGGAAGTGACCCGGGGTGTGTTCTTGAACTTGCTGGGAAATGGAGGGCTTCAGTGGAGCTCCCTGGGAACCACCCATGGGGAGGACCTCGGCTGAGTTCCTCTTAGCAGCATCTGCAGGACCTGTTGCAAAGCTGTCGCAGGGGGTACCACTTAAGCTTGAGGGAGAGAAGTGCCCCTGGCTGCTTATCTTCTGGTCAAGTATGGAAGGAGCAACAAGTTAAAGAGGTATGCGCGAACCAGCAAGAAAAGCCCCCTTCCTTCCAAAGTGTCCCTCTAGCACTCTCTACCAACAAAGCCTAACATCAAGCTGGTTGGCAGAGGGGAAATGTTTACAGGATCTAGTTCCAGTATGAGAAACAGGGCAGTGAAGGGTGAAATTGAAGCTGAGAGGCAATACATTGACAACTGGCACCGTTAGTCTCTTTAAACATTCTGTGGAAATCCTGGATTCAAGTGCCTGTACTGTCCTTGGAACTTCTCCCAAACTCTTTTCCAACTTGTTGAAACTTTCCCCATCTTATAATACCCAAATCTGAACACAAAGCCTTTCAAAGCGTGGTCCAGGGAGCCCTGGACATCCATGAGAACTTTTCAGGGGGTCTGTGAGGTTGAAATTATTTTCATAGTAATACCAAGTCACCTCCATTCCCCACTCTTTATTCTTTCACAAGGGGACAGAGGAGTTTTCCAGAGGCTACATGACATAGGATAAATGGCTAGTGGGATGTGTGCTTGTGTATTCTGTTTTAAAATTTCCTCAGTTTTAATCTCTCACACAAATCGTGCCTGTGTCCCACAGAAAGCTTCTTTGGGGTTCTCAACAATTTTTAAGAGCATATAGAAATCCTGACACCACAAAGTTGGAGAACTGGTGGTCTAGTAGGTGGAGTTATAACCTCTTGCATTTTAGATATTACAATTCATGTTTCATGAGGATTTGGACAGTAGATTTATGCCAAGGGTTTTATTTATCTGGAAGAGGGAGTGGGAAGCCAATGAGAATAAGGATGATTGTTGGAGAACATGTTGAGCTTCATTGTTTTGTCCCAGATCTAGAGAAGCATGGGGTTTTCATACTGCAGTAGATAGTACATGTTCTGTTTGGTCTTTGATGCTAAACAGACTTAGATTCAATCACTTGCCTTATCATTTAGGAGCTCTGTAACGCCTGCCAAATTATGTAATCTCCCTGAGCCTTGTAACTACTGCTTTGTAATTTCTGCCCCAGGGCGTTGTCAGGAGGATTGGATAACATTGCATCTACAAAGTGTGTGGCATATATTAGTTGCTTAGTAAAGGTGTCCCCCCCCCACGTATTCTTAGAAGACAGTGAGAGGGACTTGCTGACACCCCATAAGTAACGTGGGACACAGGTCTTCACTGTCTCAAGTCCTGTGCCCATCTACTTATTCCAAAGCTGTTTATTGAGTATGTGCTTCTGAGCCAGGGATGAAACTATAATTAACTACTGTTATTGATTAAAAGGCAGTGGCCCCTAGGATCATTTCTTCGGTGTTCGGTTCAGTCCTTTTTCCCAAACATGCTTCTTTTGGAGTTGACCACTTTTTTAGGCTCTGTGTTTATTTAAGACTGAATGTCTTCCTTAATTACAGGGCCTCCACTTATGCAGGCTTCTTCCAGGATCCTGCTAGTGTCTCAACAGTGTGTCGCATGGACACGCTGTACAATATACAGAAGGAAGATATTTCATCTGCAGGCTGTACCGACAGCCTTTTCCCTTCTGACTCTCCCTCGCCATACTTCTCTTCAGTATGGTGACTTTGGAGTGGCCACAGGCATTTGGGGCTTCAAGATTCACGCGAACTAGATTTTTTCCACAATTACACGATGGGCTTTTTGGAAGCAGTCTGATACCTAGCTTTCCTGTTGTCACTTGACAAATGTTGTGTGAAGAACAAAGTACCCTCTGTAAAGAACCCTGAGGTCTATGGATAAGGGTACTGTACCAAAGAGGTACTAATTTCATGCTGGGCTAAATGCAACATTTTAAAATAAGGAACCTGCGGTTGAATCGCTTCAATCATTTCAAAGTAGAATGGGAAAAAATGTAAGGCAAGTCATGGGTTGGTGTTTCTTCAGTATACTAGAAAATCCCACATAATTGGACCTAGAAACTTGATATTTACTCTGTAAATTGTTCATGATGAGAAACCAAACCCAGTGAATCAGAGGGAAGGGGCTGTCGAAGGGATAACGTGCTAAGTTAAGAAACCTATGTAGTTCAGGGAGACCGTTTTTGTGGGGTAGATTTGAGAGGCATTGGTATCTGTTTGCGATTGCATGGTGGAGGTCGGCACACTGGGGCGAACATCTAGAACACATGCTTTGTATTTGCCAGCAGACTGGAAGCACGTCTTGAGCTGGGGTGTACCTCACTGAAGGTAGTCTGGGGAGATGGCGGAGTTCTGATATTAAACCAGGGGCCTGAGAATGAGACATTGCAGACTCCATCCCTCCTGTTGTGATCTCGGGCAAGTCCTTTTGGCTTCCCTGTCTCTCAGTTGTGAGTTGAAGCCATTTGTACATTCTGGTTAAGACAGTATTGAGAATTAGAAGTGTTGCAAGGACTTGGAGTGGATAGAAATACTTAAAGTTTTTATAACCATGCATTTGTAAGAACTCGCCCTTGAACAGCTGTACGTGTAGCTTTAATGGGAGCCACGGAAGTAAATGCCATCTCATTTGTGATGTGGTGCTTTTACCACTTTATCTCCTCACAGAAATTCGGAGAGTAATACATGCCTGTTTTTCCCACCCCAGATTCCGTCTGGCCCAAGATCCGGGTTCCATTAAAAGTTGTGAGGACTGCTGAAAACAAGCTGAGTAACCGTTTCTTCCCGTATGATGAAATTGAGACGGAGGCTGTCCTGGCCATCGATGACGATATCATCATGCTGACCTCTGACGAGCTGCAGTTTGGTTATGAGGTAAGGAGGTTTCAGACGGTCTCTTTACATATTTGGTATTTCTTGCCTAGTGTTGCTTGTCTTTCCTGATGAAAAGTATTCTATTTCATTCTCTAAAGTCATAATTTCTAAATCCCAGTAGAGTCTAAAAGCGGTGCATAGGAGCATGGGTTATGAAGCTGTTCTTTAAAACTTTGGGGAAACCCTATTCCAGAATGACAACTGTGCCCTCCACTAGTTTTGGGAACTCCCAAGGAGAGTCCCAGGGGATATTTTCAAAAGAGCATCTATAGCATGTAACGAGCACTTAATTGATGTCTCCTTGAAGAGGGCTTCCCCTGACTCAAGCAGCTGGGCCCGGCAACGATAAAAATGTCAGTAAGCGAAGACGCTGGCGACACTGACAAACAGAAAGCAGACCCTGTTGATGGCTTTCTTTCTGAGGTTTAAGTGGAGAGGTTGGCTGCCTGTCTTTAGGGAGAAGCATTCTCTCTCACTGTTCATTCAGTGCGGCTGATGGATTAGGCTGGGTTCAAGGGTTAAGTATGGAGACCAGTAAAGGTCTCCCCAGGGGAAAGTGCCAGAGCCAAGGCCCGGTGAAAAGCAATAGGAATTGATGAGCTCTGTCAGGGACGATGTGCGGGAGATGCATGACGGCAGCGGGCAGAGGCCTGCGGCTACGGGGGCGTGCTGGCGGCATCGGACCCAAGCAAAACGGAGAGCATGCGTCAGTTAGCCACAGCCGACATGGGGAGAGTGGTGAGAGCTGCCCCCTGCACTCGTCCGGCCTGTCAGACAGAGGCAGCCATCTTCTCTGGCTGACTCAGAGTTTGCTGAATCGGAGGTTCTAAGAAATCATGAAATGGTATTATATGAGGCCATCTGGTACTCAGATTTTATTAAATGAATACGTGTTGTGTATTCTATATTTACTATAGAAATTTATTTTCTGGGGCACCTGGGTGGCTCAGTCGTTCGAGTGTCCAACTCTTGGTTTTGGCTCAGGTCATGATCTCAGGGTCGTGGGATTGAGCCCTGAGTTGGGCTCCATGCTCAGTGGGGAGCCTGCTGGAGATTCTCTCCCTCTCCCTTTGCCCCTCCCCCTGTGCTCTTGCTCACTTTCTCTCAAATAAATAAATAAATCTTAAAAAAAAGAGAGAGAAATTTATTTTCTAAGCCTTAAACTAAAAGTGGATTTTAAGGCTAAGAAATAGGAATCCCCTTAACCATCACCACCACCAAAAATTAAAAGCTCAAGTTTTCCTGGGTTTGTTTGGTTGGGTCTTTTTTTGTTGTTGTTTTTGTTTTGTTTTGTTTTAATGTAGCTCCATTTGAGTGGAAAAGAAATTGTTGTGAACGAGGCTGACGTGCGACACCCTTGGCCCGTATAGTTACTGGCCAGCCAAGAGCATGAGAGTGGCTAATAAAATATGTGTCATCTTTTTGGGTTTATTCTCATTCACAGAGATTTCTTTTACATGATCACATCTAGGGTATCGAATGATTTTTAGCATACTATCATTCCCATTTTTTAAAAAAGCAAATTACCTCCTTGTTTCTCTAGCCAACTCATGGCAAAAATGACCAGTTTTTCTGCCAGTGTTTTCTCTGTTGCATATAGTGGTTTCAGACTATACTTATGTTTTTATTTTTGTGGTAAAAGGGAAGTGGAAGAAGGGAACATTCAGGACGATATAGCCAAGATGGACAGAGTGCTCCCTCTTCAGTGGGATCTTCTCAAGATGCTATGGAAGGAAAACTTTCGTAACTATCCTCCGTGTTCCGGTGAATGTTCTGGGTGTTTACAGACATTACTTACGATCTTTTCCCAAACCTGCAAGGTGGTTATTGTTTTCTCATCCTTTACTAAGATGAAGCAAGGTGAGATAACTTGCCTACAGTCAAACAGCTAATGAGTGGAAGAGTTAGAATGGAGGTCCCAGTGTGTCTCCATTATACTGTCTGCACAGGGGGGCGGTTTATCTTGTCAGAGACCACAGGCTCATAAAACTCGCACTATGAGCCATGAGCATGTCAGTTGTCTCTCACGGAATTACCTTGATGCTAAGGGTAACCAACAGGTTTCTCATGCATCCCTACCATTGGTGCTTTAGGGCAATTTTGTAAAAGTTATTTCCTGCATAGTAATTAATATAATGGACAAAGTTAGGAAAGCTCCGGGCCCAAATTGCTGCTCTTTCACTGACCAGTTAATGACCAAGGACAAGTTATTTAATCTTTCGGGATATTAGTTTATTCTTATATGAAATGGCAGTAACGATATTGACTTCATTAGGTTAACATGTACATTAGAAAATTACACGTGCCTCCCACATAGAAGGAAAATGCTCAGGAGCTGCACTTTCTCTGTGGTGGGCAGGGTGCGGTGCACGTCACAAGTCACCAAGTCAGCTGCCACTGCAACGGCAGCTACTACCGTTGGTCTCATGATTCCCCTCATGGTTCTGCCACAGTTCCTGAGGAAGGTGGTTTGTTACTTTCATTCTTCACAGGGGACAGTTCTGTTCTAGAGAGGGTACCCACTTTTGTGCTGAGTCAGAAGACAGAAGATAATGGTGTTCCCAAATCCTGTTCTTCATGCCAAAGCCTAGGATTATTTCATGTGGGAATTGGGAGCAGGCTTGACTGATTAAGTGAATAAATAAATCTGTTAACAAAAACTTACGTCCTAGGGGAGTTGTGTTGGAACTCAGAGCTCCTTTGTTGTGTTTAGCACAGAGTGTTAGATTATATCTATCTTGGTAATTGCTATTCATCCTTCAGCGTTCTACTCAAATGTTGCTGTCTCCTCTGCCTTCATGAGTTTGAGTTGCTGTTATTTTCCTGGTCTTTCAAGTGATAGTTTAGATCATTGATCTCAATATTTATTTTTCCAATGTTTGCATTTAAAGCTGTAAATTTCTTGGAAATTACTGCTTTAGGTGTATTCCCAAGTCTGGATTTGTCATATTTTTATTATCCTTAAGTTTAAAATATTTTCTAATTTCCATTGTAATATCTTCTTTGACCCATAGTTATATAAAAGTACATTGCTTACTTTGCCAGTTTTTAAAGTTTTCTCTTTTTTTATTGATTTCTGATTTGATTCTACTGTGGTCAGATATTCCATATGGCTTCATTGTTTTGAAATTTACTGAGACTTTATGGTCCAGTGAAAGGTCTATTTTGGTAAATGTTCTGTGTGCACCTAAAAAGAGTTTACATTCGGAGTTGTAGATTTAATGACCTTACGAGGTCATCTAGGTAACATTTTATCTTGACTTTTAGTTTAATTTAAATTTTTAAAAGTTTTTATTTAAATTCCAGTTAGATAACAGACAGTGTAATATTTTCAGGTGTATAATATAGTCAGTCAGTCATTCCACACTTCCATAAAACACCCAGCATTCCTTAATCCCCATCACCTATTTTCCCCCTTCCCCCCAGCCACCTCCCCTCTGGTCACCACCAGTTTGTTCTCTACAGTTAAACTTTTAATTTGAATATAATCAGTATATCCCCCTGCTTGTTCTTCTCCAAAATAGGCATCTCCATTTCTTCTGTTATTTTACCCCCATGGCCTTTATCATTTCTGTAGTAAATTCATTATCCTCATTTAAATTAAAAAAATAGTTTATTTAATATGTGAGAACCAAAGAGAAACCATGCAACAGACCTTTCTTACTGTGGCTGCAAAGAATTTTTTGAGAAATCTGGAGAGACAGAAGCATCTTCCCGTCTGGGAATTTTCCAGAAAGAGGGAGCCAGGAGCCTTTCCAGTATCTAGAGTGGTTTTACTAGTGCTGCCAGGAGACAGAAGAATAGACCAGATGACTTCCCGAAATCCCTCTGGGTGTAATGAATCTGAGAGATAACAAGTACAGGCACACCGGTACGCTGTGGTTCCCTGTGAAAAAGTGTCAAACTCCCGTGCATCTGATGTGGCAAACTCCTTCACTTCCCTGTGAAACACGGCAAGATTGCATAGTGAGGATGTAGGGTGGTGATGGGCAGCACATCAGGAATCGAAGTGAGAACACAGCAGTTACTTTAATGGAGGACAGCCGGAGGATGGTGAGCCCAGGCCTGGTCTGATCATGGTTCTGCTGATGAGTCTTCTGAGGCCTAGCATGTACTCAGGCACAGAGTTCCAACATGCCTTTCACAGACGTGAGGGCATGCTAAGGCAGTGCTTTTGTTGGGGGGGCGGGCAGGGAGACATCGATGTCCAGAGACCATTTTAAAGTGATGGGCTCCAAGGCCTGCTTAAGGAACATAGAGCAGAGACCAAAGGGAGCTCGCAGACTGCACGCTTCTTGAAGTAAGAGGGAAGCGTGCCGCTCGTGTATGAGGTAAGAGAGAGTGGACTCTAGAACCCCTTTCCAGATGGTGGTTTACTAGAGCCCAGCTAGGTAACGTTCGCTGTGTCTCCTGAGGCCCATAGACTGGCTGAGAGGACTGGGATTGCTGTGGGCCTGGTGGCCATTTACAGCAACCCCTCTGGAAGGCTGTGGAAAAGAAACACAGTGTCAGAATGTGAAGGGACCTCAGAGATCATCCTGTCACTTGATGCTTTATAGCTTAGGAAACCGCGGTGCAGGGAGGCACAGTTACTTCTTTAAGGTGCGAAACAGACGTTGGCTGTCCCCGAAGGTAACCACAGCAAGGGTCTGGGGATGAGAGGCCAGGCCATGGAGGAGAAACCTTTTGCCTTCCAGTGGCTGTGATTTGAGCCCACCGAACATTTGGATTCGAGACCTAATACTGGGGATCATTATTTATTTAATTGGAAGAAAACACAGGGGTCATTTGCCTGTTTATATGGGTCATATTCCCTGTTGGAAGGCAGAGAGTTTGGGAAATGTTGCATTCCCTCTCCAGCCCTGAAATCAGGAGCTAAAGAATGCTCTTCTCTGGCCCTGCGTGTTTCTGACTTGTTTGACAAGCTCTAGTGAGCTACCAGATGTGGAAATTCTTTTCAGCCTGGGATAATTTATTTATCTGTTTATGTATTTTACCAG